GGTAAATGTCGCCAAAATCGAGATGCTGTCGTTTGGTGATCGTCCACAGCTCAGCCGAATCCGAGCGCAGGTATGCGTCCATAGTGTCCATTTATTAGGTGTTACGGTGTTCAGAGGCTGTGAGAAGTTTAGGAATCGTGATGGACCCATATCTGTCATACAGCTATCACGTAGATCAGGTGGCAAACAAATGTATGGACATTTTAATAGACATTATACATGCTAAGAACGCACTTGCTCCAATCAAATTACCTAGGATCAGCGATGCCCTGCTTCGGCCCCATGTTACATATCTGTATGTGTATGTATATGTGTCCAGGCGTATGATAGTGCAAGTCGCTCGAACATCTCAAAATTGCAGACGGTACTCAAATTCACTGCCATGGTCATCCCAGGCCAACGAAAATGTAACCACATACCGGATGTATTCAATCAATCAGGCTGGCTGTCCTCACATGCGTTTATGTCTTACCTTGATTGCTGTCTGGCGTACAGCGCTCCGACGACTGGGAAGCCTGCCGTGGCGCGCTTTGCGCTAGTATACAACCGTAACCGCGTGGTCCGAGACAAGAGGCAGTCACGACATCTGAACCTGCGTCGTAGGAAAAACAACCACGAAAAGAGAGGATCCAGCATCGTGCGGTGCAGCAGTACGCCCAACGAGCCTTCACGTAACATCTATCCTATAACTCAAAGCGTCAGTTTGAAAATAGGATTCGCAACATAATTTGGCAAAATTAACCTCAGTAGACGTGAGTCGTGTACGGTGTGTGTAAGAGATGGGTGGTAGGGTGGCCTAGTGTTTCTGTCACATGTAACCTGTGTTCGAGTCTGTCTCCGCGAAGGTGCACACGAGTCGGCGGTCGGAACTAGACTGTATTTCTGTGCTCCGCGAGACGCTCTGCCATCTACCGTTCGGTCTAGATACTACTACTCGTGCGCTATACTCGGTACACGCACAACCTGTACTACGACCATGAAGGCTAACGAGGGTCTGAGAATAGCCCATTTTGGGGGGAATAACCCAATTATGTTCAGTGCAATACAATATTCTACCTTACCACCCACCCACACGGCAGCAGTCAGCGTCAGTGGCTGGAACCAATGGTTCTGCTGCTGAGTGATAGTTCGGAAGTGACATCGACGGATTTAGTTGGCAGTTTCTTAGCAGTTAGTTAGCTTGTTAGCAGCAGTTAGTTAGTTAGTTAGTTAGTTAGTAGTAGCAGCAGCAGTAAGTTAGCTTGCAATGAGCGTCCTAGGCGTGATGTTGCATTTGTATAAATGGTGCCGGTGGGGCGTCGGCTTCCTAATGGCACGACACCTATGCTGGGACAGAATACGGAATGTAGGAATGTAGGACCACAGCCACCAGGTACTCTCTTTTAATGCAGTAGCATAGGCATTAAACTATTTAAAATCACTGCAATATGATGCCTTCAGGGGCGAGAAAAATGTATTGCACACGAAGAAATGAACAAAATTAAAACACACGCACACACATGCGCACACGCACCCACACACACACACACAAACGCAGCGCTCGGCGCCCTGCGCGGATCGATCAAAAGCACTGACCAAAGCTGACAAAACATCGCATCGCAGTGATAGGAAGCAGCAAACGCCACGGCAACTGCATCTCCACATATCTAGACCGACACAATGCTAGAGAACTGCAGAAGACCTCTTACTTTGTGAGCAGGGAAACATTGAAGCATGCCGTGCTTTGCGAAGCCACCACAAACTGTGCGACTGGTCTGGAGTGAGTTTCGATCCTCACATCGCAAGCTCTCCAATGGCAGTAGCGTCGTCCACGTCGGCGGCCATATTGACGTCGGGGGCCATTCCTCGCCCAACATCCAGGAACAGCGCAACCCTGTCGACGGGTTCTGAGGCAGCCTGTGCGTGCGCTGCGAACGCAGCTCCCAACGGCGACAGTAGCGCACAGCTCCGCCGAGCTGAGGTGACATGGGCGCTGAGCTGTGAAGCTGGACGCCAGATGGCGTTTCTGAGCTCCAGAGGCGCGCGGCCGGATGATTTGGCTACGCTGCGAGCCCCGGTGCGAGGTGCAGCGGCACCGCTGAGCCGAGCGTCGCGAGTCTCAGCCACCAGCCGCGGCGAGTCTGCTCCAGAGAGGCTCGACCCCCTGACGAACGCACGCCGCTCCATCGCGCCAGCCAGCTGGCCGGTGTCGGCGGACATCGCAGCGATTCAGGCGTGGCGATGCTCGCCAGCCGCCAGTCGCCGCAGCCGCCGCTCCTCAGACGGTGCTGGCGAGCCGCCGCGGTGCCAGCGCACCGCCTCTCTCTCACACACAGAAACGCTTGAAGATGAGCTACTTGCCCTCCGACATGGAGCTCTCGATGTCACCGCCAGCATCACCCGTTACGCTACCCAGCTTCCGCATGAAGCCAGGGCCGATGACGGGGGCGGCGGCGGGAAAGTTCGCCCCTCCCCGCGTGCGCAGCGGTCCCGGCCGGGCCCGCGCCGGCCGCCGCGTCTCTGTCCACGGCTTTAGCACAACATATGTTGAAATTCTATTGCTGTAATGTGCACGACCACAAAAAGGCTCAAAATGCCCGCGCGCTTTGCTATCACAAAACAGCAATAGCGTATGGCTTGAAATCATACATTGCAGCTGCTAGGTGTCGAAGTGTAGGTGCTGTTAAGCTCTCGTCGAGCGGTAAAGGTTTGGAGATGATCGGAGCAATAGTGCCTAAATTACACTAAGTGGGAATAAATGATAATCGACGCTTAAACTGACCTAGGGTTACCAAAATTGGAAACTGCAAGAGGGAATCGGGTGTGGTGCATTCAATGGTGAAGGCTTGGTAGCAATCGGTTCGGTAGGTTCTGAGCTATAAGTTGTCTGTAAGCAAGAACTTCGACCTCACGAAATTTGACGACTTTCGACCTGACCTAGGGTCACCAAATTTGAGATTGCAAGAGGGAATCAGGTATGGCGCATCCAATAGTGAAGGTTTCACAGCGACCGGTGCAGCAGGCTCATATCTGAGTTGTCTGCATTTGCATGTAAAACTTTTCCTTTCCCCGCGTTTTCGAGGTGTTTGATCTCAGGTCAGGCTTTGCTAGTGGCTCCCCATGACTCACCTCACTGCACGGAATCGATCGATTAAGGTTTCAAGGCCATCAGATGAGCCGTTTCGGAGCACTTGCGTGTCTGCGTCATATGCCGGCTTTTAAGAGTCCGCCCGCTGACGTCGTGAGTCCTTTCCACTGGTTATGGAACTTTTGACGCATGCCATGCGTGTGCATCACGCTTAAACGCACTTTCGATGGTTAAGTATTTGGCGCTCCTCCATACCAAAGCAAAGTTTTGCAGTAGTAATCAGCGATGAGCTGATTACGTCGACCAGCCAGCTAGCCGTAAATAAGCTAGGAATACTTTCGTGCTTTGTTTCAGGGTATTTAGCAATCAACCTTAGTTGATCTTGCCATATTTTTTCCAAAAAACTTAGCCTCAAAATGACAGGATTTCCCACGATCTGGGGAAAATGAATGAGCTACCTGTATGTGCATACACAGCGTACTTAGTGGTCTAGGGCTGCGCACAGTAAAATGAGTTCGATATAAAAACAGCTTAGAAGTTCAAGATTTAAAGACCAAAATGCGAGGTTCTTTTTGGAAAGACCCCAAACTTTGGAACTCCACAATGCTAGTCCCCCTCCCCTCTGACGAAATCCTGGACCCGTCCCCGCGTGGCGTAACTTGACGGCAACTACATTTCACTTGCCGACATTTGTCAGCTAGGAGTCCACATAATTCTCGGACATTTTGTCGCATTGGGAACATCGCAATGATATTTTTTAGTCTTATCGTCACCGTTTACACTGTAGTGTTTTTCCTGGAAAGGCTCATCCACCAGCTGAGCCCATCCGATTGGCTACTCCAAAATATACAGGTGTAATGCATTATTGTGGCTTCAGTACGCGCCCTACCGCCTCGCCTTACTCTCCAATTTAACAAAGCTGCTGTTTATCGGGGTTTTTGGCGCGCCGACCGCCATCGTCCCTTGGCACCCAGTACAAACTGTGGTTGAATTTTTGATGGGTTACTGGAGAGCTAAGACAAACACACCAACTCGTACAGATTGAGGCAGGGCTCCTCAAAGTTTATCTGACAACGCCGCCGTGAGGACGTCACAGAGATCCAGTGACCGTGGGTTAAAAGATAAATACAAATCTGGGCACGCGACTTTCTGGTCTTCCATTCCGCAGTAAAGCGGAATGCGACCGACAAACTTCGCCATTCCTTGCAACCCTGTACGGGACTGCTTACGGTACACGTGTTCAGCACCGATTCAGCCAGACCTGCCCCGATGCTTCAGTAGATAGCAAAGACGACATACGGCTGATGTTCACCGCAAGCGACGCACCATAAGCACCCGCGCAACTGAACACTCCAAAACTCACTGGATTCACCAACGCTGCTCTCACCGTGCTGCGACTGGGAGCCATAGCGCGAGCTCACACTCCCCTCACAAAACCATCCAAACACCTCGTCATTTTATCGCACTTTTATTTTACAAAATGAAGTCAAACCCTAGCCATTGCCGTCGAAGCGCCGATACAAAACAATGCGGATGGTAACAAATTTCGTTGGCGACGCGGCGCGTGACCATCCACCGCGCGGCGAGCGGCGCACGCATTACAAAACGGCGGCGCGCCGCGCGCCGGCCGCGCAAGGCACCTGGTTGCGACCCGCGCGCCGTCGCCGGCGCTCCGCGCGGAAGCCGCGCGCACTACCTCGCTCTCACTCTATGCTGCCTGTAAGACTTCGCACCGGCCGAACGCCGCCGCCAGCCGCTTCCGTGGAGTGCGGCGGGCGGGGCGCGGCGGGGGGCGCCTCGCGCGTCACACCGCACACGCGCGCGCGTCACGCAAGCGATAACACCAGTTAATAGCTGTATTACACAACACAAAATAGACAGCATTAACAAGCACATGGTATAGTGGGGGTGGCGGGGGCGGGGGGGGGGGGGGGCAGGGGCTCGGGGAGGGAGCTGGCGGACTGCTTGAGCGTGCGGGGCCGCGCGCGGCGCAGCTAGCACCAGTCGGCCATGTACGTGAAGTCCCTGAAGAGGAGCTGGTCGGGCGCCGTCAGCGGTCGCTGCTCCTTGGGCGGCGTCAGCACGGCACGCTCTGACGTGAACTCCTCGTCAAAGTTCGACACGTCCTCCAGCGTTTTCTGGCGGCGGCGGCAGAGGTGTCAGAGGTCAACTGTTCTACGCCGCGAAGCCCTCTCCGCAGCGACGTATCGGCACATCAGCCCTTAAAACAGCTGATCAAGGCGCGCCAACGCCGACTGTTGCGTGGCAGCATAACGCTTCTACGGACCATTTGCAGGACCTAGTGACAGGCCAGAAAGACAAAGAGCCACGCGTCCAAACTCTTCTCTCATACACTCCCCTCCCTCATTCCCCCACAAAGAACACACAGTCCCCTCCCACGGCACGAGATTCAGCCTCCCCTCCCCCATCGCCACTCACAATGGTTGGCACGAAGGGTGGCCGCACCCGGCGGGCCAGCAGCTCCTCCCAGCCGACGCCGCTGAAGAAGGTCTGCTTCTTCACGTCTTCGGCGTCGCGCTCGCTGGCGCCCAGACGCCTCTCCGGGTTCTTCCTCAGCAGCTGGCGGCGGCGGGGGAGCACGTCAGAACGGGCGGCCGCCGGCACCGAGGGAGGTCACGCCACGCTCCTCGCTTCACGAGGAATGCGAAACGGACGGGCGAGGCCGACTGACACGTCGATGCTAAATCAGCGGAGTTTGCTGGATGAACAGAACTGCTCAAAACCGATAGGGGACTCGGATGGAAAACAATGAAAAAGGACAGTCTCACTCCTCTTTTGCAAGCGCCTCGATTATCATTTTTGTTTGCATGTAGTTATATAAAGGACGTGAGGACAACCACGAGTAAATTCACAAATAAAGCTCCTTCAAGTCACTGCTCACACAAACCCGCCGGCCGAAGCCAACGGCAAACGAGTGGCGCCACCTATCGGTCACCGGTGCAGACGCTAGTTCCGGCGGACGCCACTCACCCGACGCATGATGGCGATGGCCTGTAGCGACAGGAAGCGCGGGTAGCGCAGCTCGTCGTTGACGATGCTGTCGAACACCTCCTCCTCGTCGTCGCCGGGGAACGGCGACTCGCCCACCAGCATCTCGAAGATGAGCACGCCCAGGCCCCACCAGTCGACGGCGCGCGTGTACGTCTGCTCGGTGAGCACCTCGGGCGCCAGGAACTCGGGCGTGCCGCAGAAGGTGCCCTGTGCGGTCGCCGTAGCCCATGCCCTCCTTGCAGAGGCCAAAGTCGGCGATCTTCACGTAGCCGTCCGTGTCCAGCAGCAGGTTGTCCAGCTTCAGGTCCCTGAGGGCCGGAAGGTAGACGGTGTCAGGCGGTGGAAGCGAATACTCAGCTACTCCGGTAGCAGCTGGGGCACACGTGTTCCCAGCCGCGCACGAGACACCCCTCAACCGGACCTTGTCCAATCGGACAGTTCTCATCGTACACAGCAGGCCTTCGTACAGTTCGTGAACAGCAGAAGAGCTTGTGTCGTGAATCAGTTCAAACAACAGAAGGCTCCAGAAGCGGTAGAGCTCTTTAGCCCCACGCACAACGTGACGGTACGGAACACGATCACGCATGGTTCCAGCTGACCACGACATACCCATTTCTGTTCGCAGCTGCCACACACCGCACGGCGCACCGACGTCCTCCACCGAAAATCCCCAAACTCGCCGTGCGGCCGACCGAGCCCTAATGGTCGGCGCGGCCCTGACAGCGCGGGGATTACGCGCATGCCACGCGTCCGAGGACGTCCTGTGCGCTAATCCCGCGCCGTCTGCGCCGCACCGGCACCAGGCAGGGCCGGCGCCGACGGACCGCACCATACCAGACCGGCCAAGGCCGCCGCCGGTCGCGTGTCGCTCGCCGCCGCCGTCCCAAGCCAGGCAGCTCTCCTGAGCCTCCCGAGTCAGGGCGCCCTCCTGAGCCTTCCCCAGCCAGGGGATGCCCGGATCGGAAGGACCCGGTCGAAGGAACCTCAACAAAAATGGTAGAGGGGGGGGGGGGCATTGCATTTTTTTTCTCGACAAATCGCATTCGAATTTTGTTACATCTCTCACACGGGGAGGAGCACTACCGCTGCTCCCACGCAGCTGCTGCCGGCGGCCTGATTTCTCACATTGTGAGGAAACATCGCAGGGAAGAAGAAAACAAGCGCTTACATGGGAGCTTCGGGAGGAGACAGTCGGTGGGCAAGCCGAGTCGGCCTGGCCGCTCTGCCGCGCGCCTAAAGCCCGGGGGTTGGGGTCCACTCACCGGTTAGATGATCTTGTTCTCGTGCAGGTACTGCAGACCGAGCACCACACAGGCGGCGTAGAAGACGGCCCGCGGCTCAGGAGAACACGTCCGAGTGGATGTGCATCATCAGGTCCCCGCCGGCCGCGTACTCCATCACAAAACACACGTGGCTCTGCCGGCGCGATCAGCCGCGTCAGCCCACTCCCCAGCACCAAACACACACGAATGACGAAATGATAACAAATACGCGTAAGTTACAAACTAACACGGCCTGAGGAAAACAAATGCAGCCGCGCTGCTCCTGCCGGAGCGTGCCGCCAGCCAGCGGACTCCATCACAAAACACAGGTGACCCAGCCACGATAAGGGACCTCCTTATCACTCAAAATTGCTAGGGTGGGCGCCAATATCACGGAAACGAAGCTCCATAACAAGGCACACAATTTCAGGAAGTGTGGCACACGATCGAGTGAGGGATCGAGCAAATGAGGGAGAGCGGCATAAGATTGCACTACACTAGCCAACTGCCGTATTATCAAGCCGCTGACCAGCAGGTCCCCGACCAGCTCGCCCTTGACCAGCAGGTCCTGACCAGCAGGTCCCTGACCAGTGCATCTCTGACCAGTGCATCTCTGACCAGCCCATCCCTGACCAGCGCCGGGTGGGACCGACACCATCCCCGGACCGCTGACTGGAGCCGCCCCAGCGCGTACGTTCTGCCGGGGGCGCAAGGCTTTAGCGAGGCCCCCGCCGCGCGCGTCCGGCTCCGAGTCGGGCCGTCGGAGGCGGCGGGGCCTAAGCCGGATCAGCGCGCGCGCGGCGCGCGCGCGCACAGTCGCCCGCCCGGCCGCGATGCCGGCAGCGATAGCCGCTGACGGCCGCGCCGGGCCGGCGGCGCTCGCAGCCGAGCGAGCGGTGACGGCGCGACGGGGGCGAGCCCCGGCGCGGCCGAGAGGCGGTCGTGAGGACGGCAGGTGTCGGAGACGGGACCTGCCAGCCGGCGGCCATGACGTCACGCCTCTCCCTCGGTCGCCCGCCGGCAGCTCGTGGACCCGCCGCGCCAGCTCCCACCGAAGCTGTGAAGAGCTGGCCCGCCTGGCGCCAGGCGCCAGGCGGGCCAGCTCTTGAAGGGCCGCAGCCACCACCTCACCCCACCCGCCGCCAGAAGGGCGCCACAACTGACCTCCGTCTGGAAGCAGCTGAAGAGGTTGACCAAGAACGGGTGGCGCACTGAGTTGGGCCGCCTCGAAGATGCGCTTCTCGGCCAGCAGCGACTCGACCTCGTCCCGCGAGATGATGTCGGCCTTCTTCAGCGCCTTGACTGGCGTAGTACTCGCCCGTGTTCCGGTACTGGGTGAGGATCACCTGGCCGACAGAGGGCGCGCCGGTCAGCGGCGGTCGTGGCCGGGCGCGCTGTACCCGCGCGTGGCCACTGCGGCGCCGGCCGGAGGTGCGTGCCGGCCAAGTTCCGACGTGGCACGACGGCTGGGACCGCGTGTAAATGACTCTCTGGCGCCCCCCGACCGCGGCACATCACAGACAGTGGCCTACGATCACCAACCAACCGCGCTCGAGCTGCCGGAATCGGCGCGTCGATAACATTTCAACTCATGAATATGCATCAGTGAAACCACACAGAGCTCATAATTACAACGCGATCGTCTCGTGGCAGCCCTCCTATCTTGGCAGGCAGTCTCGCATGGTTAGCTAGCACCACAAAGCCTGCGACTCCCCGCCCCCCCCCCCCCCCCAGTGCGCTCAACACGTCAAGCATGCTCCAGGCCGCCCCCGGCGGGCGCGGCCGAGCGGCGCGCGGCGACGGCACGCACCTTGCCGAAGTGTCCGCGGCCGAGCCCGGCGATCATGCGGAAGTTGTCGAGCGCCATGCCGGTCAGCTGAGAGACGCGGTGCGACTCGTAGGCGGAGTCGCGGTACTCGACGGCCACACGGGGGCCGGCGCGGAGCGGCACGGCCGGCGGCTCCTGGCGGGGCGGGACGGGCGCGGTCAGCTCAGGTCAGGTCAGGTCAGCATACACACGGCGGCCGGCGCGGCAGTGGCACGGCCTGCGGCTCCTGGCGGGGCGGGGCGGGGCGGGGCGCGGTCAGGTCAGGTCAGGTCAGGTCAGCACACACACGTCGGCCGGCGCGGAGTGGCACGGACGGCGGTTCCTGACGGGGCGGGGGCGGGACGGGGAGCGGTCAGCTTAGGTCAGGTTAGGTCAGCACACACACACGGTGACAGCACACCGTCAGCGGTACCCGCATACACAGACAACGCACACAGCAGATGGCCCCACCGGTGCGGCACAGCGCATGCTGACACACAGCCCGGCGCTGACAACTGGGCTGCCGGCACTGCCGGCACGCTCTCCAACACCCGCGCCGGCTGATTGGCGACGCCCCGTTGATGGGATCCACCTCGCTTCACGGATACACACCCAGCTGGGAACGAAACCTCGACGCTGAGCTGCAGCTGAACTCAGCTTGAGCTGAGCAGTGAACATGCATAACATCAATAACCGGTGAATCCCAAGGGCTCTTTTGAAACATGCTGACCTACTTGGATGCCATTATGCAGTCCTTTGCAACTCTGAGTTCAATGCAAACACACGGCTAGCCGTGGATCAAGCGACATTATCGCGGACTGTGCAGTTTCCCAGCCAGGGATGTGCCGCAGCGACAGCGCTCTGCATTGAATAACAAGACCAGCTGGGAGCTCCCAATGCTTGAGGAGCGGGACCCCGGACACGGGGGTCTGGTGATAATGCCTGGCTGAGCAGGTAAGGCCCCGCGCCACCCAACCCAGCCTCCTCGCCCCGAGTCGGGCAGGACCGAACCGGGCTGACCCAGCCGTCAGGACGATCCCAGGCAGACAGCGGGCGGCCCTGACCGCCTGACGCGCCCCGCCAGACCAGACGGCCCGCGCAGCGACCTCCCGGGCCGGCCGATCCTATCGCACCTCGCACAAGAGGCCACCGTCCCTTTAAGGGGGACGCAACGGCAGCGGCGCCTGTCGGAACTGCCCAGCACCTGCATAATTCAGCCGCGGCACGGCTGCGCGCGCGCGCAGACCAGCCGGCGGTCGCTGCTGCGCGTGGCGGGGCGCACACCACCGGCCGGCAGAGCACCTCGCTCCTCTGGCCCATCCTGAGGAGGCCGCCGGCGCGGCTGACCACACCGCGCGCCAACCGGTCCCGGCCGCCGGCCGGGCGCTATTTGCGTGGGCGGCGCTGTCTAATCGGCCGCATGCACGCGCCTGGCGTGGACTGGCGGGCCGGCTCGGCGCGTCCCGGCCGGCCGGGCGCCGCAGCGCGACCGGTCCGCCGGCAGACGGCGCGCCGTCCCGCGGGCGGCGCGCCAAATGGCGGCAAATGCACGGAGAGCGTGACGTGCAGGGGAATGAAATAGCCCGGATGTGGCGCGGCTCGAGGGTCGCGCCCGGGATCAGCTGCGGCGCTCAAGGTCAAACAGAGCACCCGTTCTGACGTGCGGGACGTTAGCGGTTTGTTGGCACCGGTTCGACGCCATTTCAGATTACGATAATTTGCCGGTGTTGTGACGTTTTTTGGCGTGAGTCCGGGGTTTTCATGGCCGTGCTCACCCAGCCGTGACATGCACTGCACCTGCCTAACCCTCAGCTTCCCGGTTTTAATACACCCATCACACATTCTTTTGGGCGACCAGAGACATGCATCGATGCTTTTTTCTCACACTACCGTCTTCCGCTTTCACACCCTTCCCACACTCCCGTCGTGCAATCTGTCACACCTGGACTTTTTCAGATTCCTGCCTCCCCTTTCTACCAAATCGTAATCCTCTCCTTTTCCACCCACATCCCCTCTGTTCATGCCCGTGTCCTGTTCCCGGTCCCATCTTGACCCGGACACAGAATCCGACGTGTAGGGGAATGAAATAGCCCAGTCCCGGTCCCGTCCCGTGCCGCCCCCGATCCTGGTCCCGGTCCCGTCCCGGTCCGGTCCGGTCCGGTCCGGTCCGGTCCCGTCCCGTCCCGTCGCGGCACTCACGTCGTCGTCCTCCGGCTCGTCGACGAGCGGCTCCTGGTCGGCGCCGGGCGGCGGCGGCGCCGGCTGCTGCGGCGGCGCGCGGCCGCCGGCCGACATGTGCGTCACCGTCACGCCGCCCGTCTCGTCGCCCACCTCGATGATGTTGATGTGCTTGCTCTCGCGCTGGCCGGGGCCGCCCAGCGCCGCCTCTCCCGGCAGCTGCGACAAACGGCGCCCGGTCAGTGACGGATGCCCGGTGACGTCATCGGCGTCACGCGGCGGCGGTGGGCGCGGCCGATTACCACGCTTAAAGTGAACGGCGTCATTAGTAAAACAGCACTGAACACGGCCGGGGAGAAACCCGCGACGACACGGCGTGCCCGCGCTGCCAGCACGGCGTCAATTGACGGCGTGTGACACGACATGACATTGATGATAACTGATGACGAGGGACCGCGATCGCAACAGCCGCGAAAGCGCCAGTCATCGCCGGTCCCGTGACCCCGGCAGGGCGGCGTGACCTTCCCACCGGGTGCGCCGAGCGGCGCGCGGCACGGCACGGTCAACACCGGCGTCACGGCCCGCCGGGCCCGGGCTCCACCGGCGTCACCAGAGCGC